CTCTATTTATTAAATTGTATGTAAAATGCCACAAAAGAGCAAAATTTGGGATCATTGGATCCAATTAGAAGCTTTGATGTCCTCAAATGAATCTTTTCACTCTAATTCCTTTGATGAAAATTCCAGTGATATAAAGGATTCTATTTCTTCACCAACAAGTACACAAACTCAAAAAAATATAAATAATCCTCATCCACCCGTAAAATGTAAATACTGCCCTAAAAAATATAAGTGCGGACTTGCAACTCGTATGCAAAAGCATACTAATAGTTGTGTAAATGCATCTGAATTAGCTAAAACTACTAAAAAAGCTAATTCTCAGCAAGTAAATCAGGTTAATAATCTTAAATTAAAAACTAAGCAAGCTATTATGAATAATTATGTCAATATTGACAAAATGGATCATAATGAATTATTAGACTTAGAATATAAATTTGCAAAAGCAGTTTTTGCTTCTAAAATTCCTTTTAATGCATTTCAAAATCTATTTTGGACAGAATTTTTTTACACTCTTCGACCATCTTTTAAAATTCCTAATAATATAAAGTTATCTGAAGGTCTGTTAAATCAAGTTTATGAAAATATTAAAAAAGATGTTGAGATTGAAATTAATAATATACAAAATATCATGATGGTTTCAGACGGATGGTCTAATATTAATCAGGAAGCAGTTCAAAATTTTGTAGTTTGTATACCAAAACTATGGTTTTATGATGCAATCTATTCTGGAGAAGCTCATCACATGGCAGAATGGATTGCAACACAAATTATTACCAAGATGGAAGAAATAGGTATTCAGAAATTTTCTTCTGTTATTACTGATACCGCTTCAAATATGAAAGCAGCATGGAAAATAATTGAAAGAAAATTTCCATATATATTTTGTTTTGGATATTCATCACATGTAATTAACCTATTAGTTAGTGATATTATACAAATTAACGAAATTAAATCAGTTATAGATGATTCAAAAATAATTATTAAATATTTTAAAAGTCATAATATAGCCATGGCTAAATTGTGATATATTCAAAAAGATAATTATAATAAGGAAATTGCACTTATTCTTCCATCACTTACAAGATGGGGCACACATTTAGATTGTATAAACTCTCTTATGAAATCACAAACAGCAATTCAGCAAATGCTTTTCGATCCAAGTACAGCAACCTTAGATTTAGAAATTAAAACATGACTACGATCTGAAAATTTTTGGAGTGAGCTTAATACAATTATTAAAATTTTTAAGCTGATTATTGCTACTTTAAAAGCATTTGAGGCTAATAATTCTACTGTTTTAACAATTTATTCTCGATTTAATACAATTTTAATAGAAGTTCAAAAAATTGAATGTAGCTATTTAACTAAAATTCAGCAAAATATTCAAACACGTTAGAATTATATTTACCATCCTATAATGACTATTGCATATATATTGGATCTACATTATCTTGAAGAAAGTAAAAAAAATGAATCTATTTGTTTAACTACATTCGCAAATTTTATTTCTACAAAATATTCTAATGAT